AGATTTTGGATACATAGCTCCTTGAGGGCGCCCAGACAGCTTCCCACCAGTCTTGAAATGAGCTGAGTGCCTTAATTGCCGCCTGGCTGATGTTACTGTTTCAGATACTTTGAGCTTGACTTCTAAGTGCGAATACGAGATTTTTATAACAACTTTCAACATTGAGCCTCATTCTATAATGGAGCACCGAGCAACCGTTCAGGCGAAAATAACAAAATTGGAAAACTATAGAATCATACAGGGAAGCCCCAATATTATGCGAGCCCTCTTACGACAACTATCAACAGAGACGGTAGGTGCGAGTATGCCTCAATGCTCTTCATCCTAAAACTCAAGCGTGCGAACCGAAAATCAGAAAGAATCAATAGAAGTATTTAACTTACGGAGTTTGGTAGGCAAAATGCATCTAAATAATTTCCATCTTCTTTTCATCTTTGAAACACATTTGGTTGTGGAGGGGCCAATGTCCCTTGGTTTTTTTTCGAATATCTAACTTTCCACAATCTGAGAAACGAAGGAAACCTAATCAATAGATAATATGCTGATATGTGAGTAAACAGGAAAGTTCACTCTGGTAAATTACTGCGTAATATAGTGCCTCTTCGGCTCCTCTTTAGGTAGCTTCATCAACATTTCAGGGCAAAACTTTATGACGTCCGAAACGTGAGAGTGAGAGCTCTGTGAAGTTTCTTTCAGAAATTTTGAAAATTGATTCGATGGTGAAGTTTCCATAGAAAATATGCCAGATGAATTGTGTTCACAAGTTATTCCAGATTGAAAGATCATCAAAATCTGCCTGTCTATATAATATGCAGGACTTTTCGAAATGTAATATAATTTTTGAAACAAAGCCGTGAACATCGCGTTAGTTACCCCATTTACAACTCAAGAACGCAGGACCGATTTTCATAATGAATTTTCATTTAAAAACAACTTTGCTGACACTCTGCCCATTCACCTCAATATTTTTCTATTTTTTTTTGTATATTCTGTAAGTTTTTCAGGTGAATACAGACTTTTTTTTTCACCGTAGTGTGCGCTGGTCAGGCCCTATCCCCCGAAGCCCAGATACATTCGGAAGGGCGCGCCAGCATTATCAACCAATGACCATTCCCCACACAGTGGGGTAAGTGATCATTGGGTCCGAGAATCATGTGCTCTGAGCAATCGCAGTGAGCTAAGAATGGCAGCCTTCTGCATCTGTGCGGCTAAGATTACTACTTTAGTGCGGCAAGCCGGTATTATTTTGAGATTCGAGAGTAGAGAGGACATCATTCCACCAAGGACTTCAATAATCAGAACAACCATCTTAACAGAGTTATCTGGATAGAGTCTGCGGAGTTCGAAGAGAAAATCTCGATATTTAATCCGTTTTTCCTCCTCTTTTCTGACGATATTCGTCTCGCCAGGAGCTGAAAACTCCATGACAAATATCGGTTTGCTCTGGTGGTCGAGAAGGACCACATCTGGCTTATTAGCTTGTATGAGCCTGAGGGTGAGGAACGAATAGTTCGAATAAATTCGGCACTTCTCGTTCGCCACAACGGATTCAATATCCCCCAGAGCTTAGGGCAACACCGGTGTCTCGTCAATACAGTAAGAGTGCCGTAGATGATGAAATAGTATTCTTTAGGCCGCGTTATGTCGATGGATATAGGCCTAGACCGCAAGTGCATTAGGGTCTCGGGCGCCTCGCGGCAGTCCCTGCACTTTGTGTCAGGAACCTCTATACCCATCACGCGACTGCGGTAGACTAAGGTGTTGAAGACACCATCCTGGCAAGCCATTATGAACCCCTCAGTTTTCGACTTCAGCCCACTCGACCTGAGAAAAGTGAAGGTCAGGCGCTTTGATAAGCCAAAGTCTCCAATGTTATTGAAGAAGACCCCATACATTGGCTTATCCTTGTGTTTCCGCAGAAGTGAGGTGATCTCTGCGGCTTTTATCTGAGCTTTTTGCTGAACAGGTTCCAACTCGGTGACAGAGTTGTGGTCACCTCGTTCAGTGTCGAGAACTATACCGAGTTTATCAGCTGCTCGGGCAGCTGCCCTAAAGAGAAATGCTCCAATTCCTGCTCTCTCATGGTCACGAACCATACAGAGAAGGGGATCCGAACTCCTGACGACTTTACAGGCTGTATCCAGTACCATTCTGTCATGCAGACACTCCAAGCTCAAAAGTCCACGGCCTCCCTATTGTCGGGGGAAGTACAACCGTGGAACGGACGATTTCGGATGCAAATTCCTATAGAGATGCATCATTTTTCGGGTTTTTACGTCGAGTCGATACAGCTCATCCTGAGTCCACTTCACCACTCCAAACGAGTAGAGTAAGATTGGAATGGCAAGCATATTTGTTGCAGCAACTTTGTTCTTCCCCGACAGTTCCGATGATACGATCTATCGAAATTTGTGCTGCCACCAGCCTCAAGGAATGATGGAGATCCTTCTCTCCAGAGGCATAAAGTTTAAGATCATCCATATAAAACAGATGGGTGACCTTGTGCCTCTGGTTTCCGGGGGTGCCACAGTTATACCCTCGAGTATTTCTGAGCGCAACGGAAATTGGCACTTATTATTATTATTAAATTGAATATTTGGAAAATGACGAAAGAGCTGACGAAGTTCGTTTTGTTCGGTTATGAAAGTTGTCATGGTCTGAGTACAGGCATTTGAGGTTATGGCGTTCTGCGATTGTGCGCCTATGAATAATTATAATGTCATGATAAAAGCAAATTCAGCAATATAACAGTGTTATTCATAATGCTGCAAACACGAAGATCACAACGAAACCATAATGTAATTAGACTGCGGAATATTGCAGATGAAAAGATAAACGCACGAGGCGATGTATTTAGTGTTACCGGTTCTATTGTTTTTGCAGTTGATCTCCTGTTTTGGCAAACGCTTTACCGTTCCACTGATTGAAAGTGGATATCCACTTATGAGACTGTTTAGTTACTATAATGATTATTGAATGATTGTATATAGTGTGAATTACCATATGTGGGTATCTATTTTCTACTGTTTTTTGTATCAATCTACTGTATTACAACACAAAATCTACTGCTGAGTATAAAAATGACCTAGCAACACTTGCCTGAACCAACCTTTGTGAACATGAACATAATATGTCAATATAACTTTGATATAACTCAACATAACATTAAATGATGTAAGATAATGAGAATTTCGTCGGAACTACTAGTTGTATAATGAAACTACTGGTGAGCATGGAAATGACCTAGCCACACTTGCCATAGCCCGACCTTGTGCTTCACAAACATAATATAAAAGCTAATATAACTTTGATATAACTCAACATAACATTGAATGATGTAAGATAATGAGAATTTCATTGAAACTACTAGTTGTATAATGAAACTACTGGTAAGCATGGAAATGACCTAGCCACACTTGCCATAACCCGACTTTGTGCTTCACAAACATAATATAAAAGCTAATATAACTTTGATATAACTCAACATAACATTAAATGGTGTGAAATAACGAGAATTTCGTCGAAACTACTAGTTGTATAATGAAACTACTGGTAAGCATGGAAATGACCTAGCCACACTTGCCATAACCCGACTTTGTGCTTCACAAACATAATATAAAAGCTGATATAACTTTGATATAACTCAACATAACATCAAATGATGTAAGATAATGAGAATTTCGTCGAAACTACTAGTTGTATAATGAAACTACTGGTAAGCATGGAAATGACCTAGCCACAATTGCCATAACCCGACTTTGTGCTTCACAAACATAATATAAAAGCTAATATAACTTTGATATAACTCAACATAACCTCAAATGATGTGAGATAATAAGAAGTTCGTCGGGACTACTAGTTGTATAATGAAACTACTGCTAAGCATAAACAATGATCTAGTAACACTTGTCACATCCTGACTTTGTGTTCCACAAATATAATATGAAAATTAACATAACTTTGATATTACTCAACATAACATTAAATGATTTAAGACAATAAGAAGTTCGTCGGGACTACTAGTTGTATAATGAAACTAGTTGATTTCAAAACGCAGATATCGTCAAATACCCATCTTCAAAATATTTGATTCCTCATCCTGATGAATCTACTCGAATAATACTGGAATACTGAATTTTTTGAATTGAATTTTCGATTGATTGAATAATAACTTCAATTTTTTCATTACTGTCTTTCCGTCTGCAGTGACCAAACAAATTTCAGCAATGGTGCTAAGAAGTTAGAGATAATTGTTGTTCACTCTGATTATTCAACTGATAATAATGAATAACAATCCCAAATGAAAATCATGGATGATAGGGAGGTGATGAACCATGCATGGAACCTTCTAAAAACCCTATTCTCTTTCATAGTGCTGGTTGGACTCATGTTCCAATGTCAAACAATTATTTACCGCAAATGAAAAGATATTCTCAATCGAAATTATTTCGCTCAAATTATTATTTGATCTATGAGGTATGCCCAAGTTTTTTTCCAGAAACTGAGCGAAACTTCAATGGATTCATCAAAGAATGTGAAGGATATATGTTGGCTATACTTCATAGACTTCTGAAATTGAATATCTGCTTCATAGTTATTTTATGTAATTTTTCCGAGATAATGTAACTCTATAACAATGGTTACCTCTATTAATGATCAGAACAAACACTTCCCAATTTCCTGGCAGTTGTCCTTCATTCACTTATTGAAAAATTGGAACATGTAAAATATGATTCCCAACCAGCAGAATTAATTCATAATTTCATGGTTCTGCAACAGTTTTATTTTGTTGGTATTTTATAATTACTTCCAAAATGGTAATTGATTATATTAGACGAGC